TAGTCTTACTGTTCTGTTCTGTATTATAAGCCTAATAGGAATTAGAGACATCCTTATTGTCATATTGTCACTTCTGGTTTCTCGGAATATTGTTTAAACCATAACACTTCTCCTGGTAAACAATTTATAAGACAAATGTTTTATAGACTTTTGTATTCTACCTTCTTTCTTTTCCTTTGTTCTTTCCTGCTGTCCTTCATTTCTGTTTTATTTCTTAATGAATGGTTTGTAGTTCAGTTGAAAGTAAAACTACATGGTGCACGTAAACAGACGAGAGAACACTGCTAGGCTTTCTGAAGCGTTACAGTCAATAAGACCAGCTACTGTGTGTCCGACTGGAGAGCTAGTTGTCATCTGAATATTCAGTTCTGTGTTCCTGCAGTTACAAAGCTGTAGAGGAAAACAAAATATTTCAGGTCATGAAAATATTCACTAGTAAATCAGTGAGTTACAGTAGTAGTCAAATATCCTCTTTAAAATACCTTTTGATTTATTTGAAGATAATATGCACATTGATTGTAAGTAAAATACTAAATCTTGCCAAGGATGCAGATGTCCTGTAGTCTGTGATTTGAAGATCTCAAAATTGTTACACATGAAGCCGCGAGGGTCTGGCAGAGTTTTGCTAGTGAGAAAGTCAAGGATGATGGTGCTTCGTCTGAGAATTATTTGAACATTAGAAAATGAAGACAGGAGTTTAGGAAAAAGGATGAAGTCTTTCAGTATTTTTCACAAGTTTAGTGATTAAGATCATCCCATAAAAATTCAGTGTTACATGAAGGCTGTCATAATGTACTAGTATAAAACATTAGAAAAATCATGCTAAAAGATCCCAATACGGTCATTTTTTTGGCTTATATTAAAAATTGTACATAGTTGCAAATACTGCCTAAACTTGTTTTAATAGTTTTTATTTTTTTTCCTCCTAATTCGTAATCCAGTTTTTTATCATTACTTATTATCAAATTTGGGGCCCTATGATATAAGTGGACTTACTTCAAGTGACTTTTTTTTCAGAGTCAACTTTTTTCAGCAATAAGAACCCCCTGCATATAAAATATACTAGGTCGGACGATTAAGTTCACACAGTCACCCTAGAAAAGGTGCTTGGGAAGCTATACACTGACCCCAGTGCCTAGTCCACCCTACAGTAGGCTTTTTCTAGGACGAGCTCACAGACTTAATTGTCTGACCTCATAGGACGGTAGCCTGATGACCATTCCAATTTGGCCATTCCAAATTGCTTTGAATGGTGGACTAGGCACTGGTGTGGGTGCATAGCTTCCCAAGGGGAGGACTTCAAAAGTGACCATAGTGATATTTAGCAATGAGGGGATGTAGCACTTTTTCTAAGTTCATGAACTTAATTGGTCCACCTCATATGTGTGAATTAATGTACTTCTGCATACATAGCCTATATTGCCATAAGCTTTTGCTGTGTTTTAGTGGTCTAAACTAAATGTCATATTTTTAATTGAAGTTAATTGTGACTAAATTGCAAACAGGCAAAATATGACTTTATTGTTCAGTGTGATTAAGCAGAGATCAGAGGCATTAGTTGTATGGAGCTGATTCCTTTAGACAGATTAAATAAAACCATATATATTTAAGTCTCCTTCTGGGATTTGTAAAAAACTTGATTACAAGTTTATTGATGTCTTTGATTTGTAAAGCATTTTTTGAAAAGTTTTTTTGAATCATTATTTTATTACCCTTTGTACTGTGAGATACTTGTTATGATGAAATTGTCTGTTCTCCAAAAGTTCTTCCAAAATGTTGCTTTTAATTCTTCTCTGTGAGTTGACTCTATGACCATCTATGAACGAAGCATTTTGAGATTGCAATAGTGAAATGGCTGTTTTTGCAGGTACCTTGTGGTATTTAATCCTTTAGAGCAAGACCGCGTCTCTGTCGTCTCAGTCTACGTGAGTTCCCCCACGGTGCAAGTGCTCTCTGCTTCAGGACAACCCATGCAAGTCCAAGTCAGTGCGGTTTGGGATGCAGCAAATGTTATTTCCAAAACAGCCTATGAGGTATGCTGTGGCCATAGAACTCAAAGAGGCATTGTAAAACAAGCCCAGCCAGGGTGTATTTCACATCGTGTGTCTGTATGTGTTGTTAGTATATATATTGTATACTTCTGTAAATATGTATGTATTGTTAACTTTATTCTGAAGTAATTATGACTCATAAAATTTTGAATTTTTGTCTAACTCTATTTAATGCTCAGTACATATAGTGAAATTTAGAGAAATCCCACCCTTCTTACTAAGTTTCAGCTTTTCATTACAGAGGTGACATCACACATCATGAAAGAGACACTTCCTAGAATAATGAAAGTGCTTCTTTTTTGAGATATTATTGTGGAAAATCTGTGCTCCAGTAATTTTTTTGTGTGTGAAAGTTTCTTAAAATAAACAGTATTTACTAAGCCCTATATCACCAGAACAGTTAAGTTTTCAGAGTCAGGAGTGTAATTTAAACTGTACTTCTGGAGATGCAGCCATAAACTAGGAATTCTAAAAGAGAATCGCTTCTGCTTCTCAAAAGCCACTGCTAAGCTGGGCACAGTGCCTTGTGCCTGTAATTCCAGCTACTTGGGAGGCTGAAGTGGGGAAGATCCCTTGAGGCTAGGAGTTCAACACTAGCCTGGACAATATAGTGAGAATCCCATCTCTGAAAAGGAATTTTAAAAATAGGCTGAGGGGCAATGGTAGGTACCGATAGTCCCAGCTACTTGGGAGGGTGAGGCAGGAGAATTGATTGACCCTAGGTGTTTGAGACCAGCCTGGGCAGTATAGTGAGACCCCATCTCAAAAATAAAGCTATTGGTAGCTTCTTTTATATGTGCATGAACTTTTAGATAGAAAGGTTATATAAGTTTTGGTTAGATTATATGAGAATCCCCTTTGGTAAGTGGAACAGTAACTCTTGCGAGGCAGGGTCCTTCCTGTCTTGGGCTCTGTGCATCCTCCATGCTTGTCCATGTCTGCTGAGCCTCACACATTGTTGTCTAGCAACTCCACTGGTATGTTTCATATTTACTGAAATAATATTACAAAAAGATTTATAATAGAAAAAATCATTCTTTATGATAAACCCTATGTTCACAGAGAATTTCCTTCTCTAGGTGTCCATTAAGAAGAATTTACCAGAATAATTAAAGATGGTCATACAATCTCACATTTTAGATCAAAATATTAATGCCTTTGATAATCCTACCAACATGAGGTTATTAGGTTCTCTGGATGAAGGAACATGTGTTTACCCATAAATTATCAAAACATTTGTAAAATAATATTATACTGTCCTCCCTCACTGTGAGCAGGGGTCCAGTTCCTGACTAGCCCATCTCATCCACAGATACCAGAATCTAGTATCCAGAACAGTACAGAGGGTCTCTCACTTATGATAGCTCAATTTAATGATTTTTTTTTTATTTTAGGTGGTGTGGAAGTGATATACATACATTAGAAGCCATACTTCTTGTACCCATACAACTATTCTGTTTTTCACTTTCAGTACAGTATTCAATAAATTACATGACTTACTCAACTCTTTAGTATGCATTAAGCTTTGTGTTAGAAAACTTTGCCCAGCTATAAGCTAATTTAGTTGTTTTGAGCATGTTAAGGTGGGCTGGGCTAAGCTGTGGTGTTCAGTAGTTTTGGGGGTGCATGCATTTGAGATCAACTCTAATCTGTAATCAACTTTACTCTCTAGACTACTTATAACACCTAATACAATGTAAACAATTGTTACAGTTTTTTAAATGTGTATATTTAAAATTGTTGTTACTTTTTATTGAGTTTTTAAAAACTACCCTATGTTTGACCTGTGGCTGGTTGAATATGCAGATACAGAACCCGGAAATGCGGCGAGCTAACTGTATTCTCCTTTTAAAAAATATGGCAGTTTGTTGTTTTTACCAAAGGCATAAATGGCTTGCCTTTCAGTAGACAACCTGTCCCTTTAACAAACTCCCTTCCCTGTCTTTTCAAGGTCTCTTTTCTAGCACGTGTACCACCATTGGGAATGAAAGTGTTTAGGATTTTGAAATCAGCAACTTCAAACTCACATTTAGCTGATTATGTCTTCTATAATGGTAAAATAGAAGATACCGTCTCTAAAAATAAAGTAGAAGATACAGGAATCTTCAAGATAAAGAATAAGCAAAATGCTGAAGAAGCTATAACTCTAGAGAACTCCTTTATAGCTCTTTGGTTTGCTCCATCTGGTCTCTTGGAGGTATGTTCTGACAAGTTCTAAAATTCATAAAAGGTTTGCCACTTTTACTACATGTGTAGATTAGTTATGCAAAGTTATGCAGATTAAGTAGGGCTGTCCCAGGTGCTTTGGGTGGAAGGTCCCCGAGCAGCTCTTTGTCCTGCACTGACCACTGGGCACTCATGAGTGTGCTCTGGGTGTTGCTGTTCCTTAGACTGACTGTTACTGGTCCAGGAGATAAGGATGGAAATTATGACTGTTAAGAAGTGTTTATAGAAACTTTGAAAGTATTTAACAAACTAAAATCCAGGTTGATTCTGTAATAAAATTTTTAATATTTGGTGTATCACTTTAAACTTAATTTTTTAATTTAATTTTAAATTTACTTTTATTATACTTTGGACAAATATTGGTTCATGCATATTGGAAATAACAAATAGGCCGGCTCCTTCTACAGAAGTTCAAGAAGCACAGGTCTAGAGCTCCTCATTTATATATTTCTCTGTTTCTTGATGGGTATATTCTTTCTTTTGTTCCTGTTAGGAAGGTTTTAAATCCTGAAGCAAAGCATAAGATTTGGGCATTGAACCAAGATTTGTGAATTTTAGAGGCTTAAATTAGTATTTTTCAGAGCAGATGTGGTGGCTCACACCCATAATCATAGAAGTTTGGGAGGCTAAGGCAGGAGAATCATTTGAGACCAACCTTTCTCTGCAAAAAATATTAAAAATTAGTTGGATGTGATGGTACATACCTGTAGTCTCAACTACTGTGAAGGTTGAGGCAGAAGGATCACTTGAGCCCAGCAGTTCAAAGTTGACATGTACTGTGGTCATACATTTGCCACTCTAGCCCAGGCAACAGCAAGACACTGTTGTTTAAAAAAATAAAAAATAAATAAAAAAAAACACACAACTATATATATATTTCCTTTATTCTGAGCTAATTTATTTAAAAAATCATCACATACATGGAACAAGATATAACATGATTAACATCTTAATAGTAAGGTGCTTTAAAAATGTTTCTCATCTTTAGAAAATGATGGCCAAAGAAGATGGCAAACTCCATGAAGTAAAGGTGCAGTTTTCGTGGTACGGGACAACAAGTAAAATCGACAAGAGTGGCGCCTACCTCTTCCTACCCGATGGTGAAGCCAAGGTGGGTGGTGCTGAGGTGGCAGTGGAATGAGTAGTCACAGAAAGAAGGTTGAGGGAACCAGTGAGCATGCCTCCTGATGAGTCACTGATCCCTCGACGGTGGACAGATGAGCTTTTGGTTTCAATATTGCATCACCATGTTGATGCTTAGCAGTTCGAAACTTAGATAAACACATAATTTTCCAGAGTCCGAGTTTGGTTATGATGCTCCACTGAACAGGTGCTGTCCATAGAAGGATGCTTGATTTCCCTGGGAAAATCTAATGCACTGTGGTGTATTAGACGTACTCATCGTAGCGTGCATAAACAGACACAGACGTCTAGCCAGGTGGGAAAAGTAGATTGTCTACTGGATGATTTTTCTGCTTAACCTATAGCACTTTAAAAAAACAATGTTTTTTTCGCTCGTCATTCTAAAAGTAGTATATGCAAATTCTGGCACATTTTGAAAATGCAAAAATGTATGAAGAAAACATTAAGGTTCACCAACTAGTGCACGACCCCCTGAAAACCCCTGCAAACATTTTGGTGTATTTTTTTATTGCCTTTATGCATTTCCCTTTACCCCATTCTCAAGGGGTTCTCAATACGTACCTTACTGTAGGTACATACTGTATTTTTTATTGATAACAGTGCTTACCATCTGATGACATGTTTTTGGAAAACAATTTTAATACACACTCTGTGTTTAAAAATTCCCTAATGTATATGTACTTTTTCCTCCTAATTATTTGCGCTGTAACATTGTGGTAAACTTTTGTAGAATTCTTTTTATGCAATTCTGATTATTTCCTGAGGATGACTTTGTAGAAGAGTCATTTTGTGTCTATGTCTGAAGCCTTTTAAGACTTTATGGTATATACTGTTTATCTTGCTCTAGAAAGACTGCATACATGTTCACTCCCATCAGTGTTTTTAGGGAATAACTCTCTAATATACCAATTCAAGTACTGAGAATTAGCAATATTAAAAGTTTTGCATGTAATAATAGCTTAATAGAAAAATATTTTCCTGTTAAGATTTTTGTAATTACTCATGAGATTGGACTTCTTTTTATACATTCATTCATCTTTCATACTTCTTCTGTGGGTTTCCTTTTTATATTCTTCAACCATTTTTCTATTGTCGTGTCTTATTGATCTCTAAGTACTCTTTATATGTGGTAAAGTTAGTCATTTTCCCTTTATGTTGCAAAATTTTTCCTCATTGTGTCATTTGATTAATGATTTTATTTTTCTCTTATACTAGTTTTTTAAATTTTTAGGTAGTCAATCATATTTTTTTTCCCTGTAGAGTTTCTTCTTTTGTTTTATACCTTTATAGGCTTCCCCACCTCAAGATCAATTAACTATTCTCATTGTATTGTTGCCTAGAGACCTGTCTCCTGAAAAAAGTTACTTTTGTTCCACAATTTAGGGAAATGTGCTAACCAAAAGTTTGATTTGTGGGCCACACTAAGGACTCTGTTTTTTTGTTTGTTTGTTTGTTTTTAATGGTGGTCAGTTGTTTGTGTTTTTCTGATATCAGTGAGGAATTAAAGGCAAACTAGCACGCATCCTAGTTATCCCAGAGATGAACCAGGGATCCTAAGTATAAGCCATTTCAGTGTGTTCTCACCAGCTTTTGTCCTTGAGCAGGCATTTTGTTTTGATGGACTGTTATTGTGAACATGAAGGATGTAAAGTCTCCATCTTTCTTTATGGCTGCATAGTATTCTATGGTGTACATATACCACATTTTGTTGATCCATTCGTGGATCGATGGGCACTTGGGCTTCTTCCATTATGAAAGTTATAACCTAATAACAGCCTAAGAATACGGGGAGGGGGGAGGGAGAGGGGAAGGAGTGGAGGGAGGGGGATTGGAGGGATCATGTCTGAGGTTTATCTTACAAGGGTACAGGTGAATCTTTCTAAGAGTAGAATGTGAACGTTTTAAAATAATACCTAAGAAAATGACATGACGGCTATTAACCATGTTAACCAGTTTGATGGAAGTGTTTCAGACTGCATGTGAAAACCCCACACTGTACCCCAGAAGTGCATTAATGTACATAGTTACCATTCAATAAAAAAAAAAAAAGTAACTGTGTTATAGGATATTATGCATGAATACTGTTATAACTGATTTTTTAAAGCTATTTTTTCTTTAAATAGCTCTAATGTCAGAAGTTAAAGATAATTTTCATATATTTACAAAGAGAAAATAAAAACACCTCGGGGAAAGAGGGCGTCTATCATGTGAAAGAGAGGCAGGAGCCCAGGCCCCACCCTCCCAGCTAGAGAGGGTTTTCTAGCTGTGTCGTAATTACGTACTGGACCTTTGTAGACTACTAAGCATTTTGTTAACTCCAGAATAGTTTTCTCTTGTCAAAGAGGTGAATTTGGAAGAAAATGGCACAATTCTGAAAATCTTATACTGTTTAAGCAGTTTATGTCGCAAGCTTGACTTTTTATGGTATTGTTGAGCTAAGGTGTCTAATATTTAAAAAATATAATTCCTCATAAATGCTTTAAATTTGTTCCTATGTCATATAAATTATATGCTTTATTTCCATATTTTCTTGAATTCATATTCTAAATAATAAAAACTACCAGTGGTATCTAGGTAGTTTTTTCAAGTTTGTAAATTTACTTCAATTTTATATTCATCTAGTTCTTTCAAGTAAAAGGGCAGAATGTTTTATAGCTTAGTAAACCTCACTGTGATTAATCTACGTTTCTGAATTCTGCTTTCTGTTTGCTCACATGACTCCCTGCACTCATCCTTGCCACCTGTCCGGAACCTTGAACCTTCCCAGGCCACGGTTGTAATAAATCCTTGCCTGGAAAATGTCACTGTGGTAGAACAATTGCTCTTTCTAATAAATAACTGTGTGAACAATATAGAAGGATTTTAATTAGAAATTTTGAGCTGGGAGGAATGTCTAGCGTATGAGAGAAAGGCAGGAGGATATCCTATAAGGTTTGGTGTTTATTTAAAATTACAAATATTAGGTGATATGTGTTTGCCATTTTGGAAACTATAATAAACATTTCTTAAGTGTAAAAGCCAAAATATTTGTCTTAAAAATGTTATTTGTTCCTCACAGCCTTATGTCTACAATGAACTGCCCTTGGTCATAGTGACACGTGGAAGGATTTATTCTGAAGTGACTTGCAGTTTTGAACATGTTATCCATAGAGTCCGACTGTACCATGTACAGGGTAAGAAAAAAAAGAAATACAGTTATGAAACATGCGTATGCTGGTTCTTGAATTCTTGTATTTCTTGTGTCATCTTTAGTAAGCTAACAATTGGTTCTTGGAGAAGATACGTTTCTAAATTTGTCATCGTATTTGTAGGATGATTTAAAATACAGTAGAAGCTCTGTAAATTGACCATCCCAGGGATTATAACAAACTGGTCAACATACGAAGGTGGTCCACGTAAGGAATGAGGCCTACTCTACATGTCTGGTCTGTGAAAATTAGGTTAGCTTAAGGAGGTGGTCATTGTAGGGAACTGATCAGCGTGGGGAAGTGGGGGTGGTGGTCAGTGTGGGGAAGTGGGGGAGGTGAGCAGTGTGGGAGGTGGGCAGTGTAGGAAGGCGGTCAGTGTGGGGAAGTGGGGGAGGTGGGCAGTGTAGGAAGGCGGTCAGTGTGGGGAAGTGGCCAGCTATGGAGGTTGTGCCGTGCTTACTCTTTGAAAATTGTAGAACATGGCACTCCCTACATATACATGTTCTTTTCTTCTGTATATCTTTTCTTTGTTGGAGTATTTATCTCACTCGTGATCTCCTTAACTAGAAACATTACTTCCAAGACCTGAAAACAGTATAGTATTTTGTTGGATTGTATAAGATAGAAATCATGTCCTATACGACGGCCTTCAATGAGTGGCCCACTGGCTGTCACACTCAACACACGCGCACAGCCTCCCTCTGTGGATGTAGAGTGTAATACAACAGCCCATGTCACTGGAGTGTAACTCTAAGAGAAGAATGTTCTGAGCTAGTTTTGTTTGTTGACAGCTCTCTCCCTGGCACAGTGTGAGATCAGGCTGTGGTTAATGAGCGACACCTCATGTACTGACTCCCCGTGGGGTCTGGGTGGGACTCTGCTTCCCAGACACTCTCATACACTCACAGTTAGGTTGGTTCATTTTGAATTCAGTGTTTTTAGAATGGTGGACTTTTCCAACCACAAAGTAATCCTAGTAACCAGGCCATTTACCATGTTATTAACTTACTTAGAAATGGACTTCACAAAAATGCTACTTAACTTTATCTTTTCATTAGCCAAGTTGAAAAAATTAGGAAAAGGGAGAGAATATTATTTCCATGCATGTAGTAAGGAAAGCATTTCACAAGCAGATGGCTAAATGTGTAGACAGGCACTGTTTCATCTTCAGGTCTTGTGGGGGAGCAAAGGAAACTATGTTCAGGGAATTTCTTAGATAGCTGAAGTTCAATTTCATAGTCTAATTTCTTTCTTATTTAACTTTTTTAGAACTTCAAGTTTCAGTAGTTTTTCAACTTCCTAGGTAATGATGTGATGTGTTTCAGAATAACTCATGATTCATAAGCTGAATTGAGAAGTCAAAGGTCTTTGAAAGGTGGCAAAAATAATCCTAGACACTAACGTGTCCTAAGTGTGACTTCTGCAGTTATCTGCAGTCACTTTGCTCCCTCCAGGAAAGCATGTAGTTTTGAAATAATCTTTTCCCAATACCTCTGGGAAGTCAGAAACTTTTTTTTTTTTTGGCCATCTGTTTATATTCTTGCATAAGCTATTATTTAACACCCCTGAGAACGCTAAAGTTACATTTGCAGCTGTCGCCAAAGGTTTCATTTTATGGGTTGAAAATAGCATTATTGTGCAGAAGATATGCTTATCTATTCCTAATTTTGCTTAAACTTATTGTGTTTTGGTGGAAAAGTTCTTCCTTGAGTACAGTGTGGCACACACTTGGGAGCAGACCTGTGTCATCAAGTTTGATTTGCCGTTGTTTTTAATCAGTTACATGTTAGAGTAGATGTGGAAGCAATTCATCCTAAAGCTGTAACCCCTCCATCAGGCACATTTGCTTGCTTTTGCTTTTATTTAATCATCTGTCGATGTCGCTGCATCTTCCAAGTTCACGCTGGCTCGCACATCACAGGATGGCTCTATACAGTAGACGGCCCCTCCTGCTGCTGGAGGCTGCAGCTTAGCCTGCCGTCATATCTCAGCAGTGGATCTGGAAATTAATACACTCTGACTTGCCTGTTCACTTATTCCAACCAACTGGACTCACCAAAACTAAATGCTTGTCATTTTTCCTTTCGCCTCTCCTCTTGTCCCCTTCTGGGCAGTGAACTGACTGATAGCTGACTAATAGCCCTATAGCAGGAACAGGGCCACTATGGTTTACCAGGCTCTGGCCTTCCAGTTCTGGGCTTTGTCTAGTCGCTGCCGTGCCTCTCTGCCTCTTTTCTGTGCTTTCGTTTTTCTTTTCCTTTCTCATATGTTTCCATTTAGTCTTCTTTTCCTTGGTGTTCTGGCACATGTTGAAAAAAAAAGTGACATAAGTAAGTATAATATGAAGTTAGGGTACTTCTCGGGATGAGTTTCACTGTAGTTGCCTGGATTAACCCTGAAACTAGCATGTAAAACTTGAAGTGACATATATATCTTTTTTCTCTCTCCATGAAATTTATTTTTAAATTTTTTTTTCCCCAACGTGAAATTAGTTGGTAGGAGATGGAGAAACCAGAATACTCTGAAATGTTTTCTTCGAAACTGTATACATTCCTATGTTTCCATTTGAGCCCCATTCAACATACTTCCCCCAGAAAAGATAAGCTTAGTTCGTTGGGGTTTGAATGAAATTGCTAATCAAGGTCTGTAAGAGAGATGTGAAGTCTATGGAGTGTTTGACTACCTGAAAGGGTAATCAGTATTTGGGGGGTTGGTTATGCTGTGCCAACTTTTGAAAGTTCTTTACCGTTCTAAACTTTGGCCTCCTGTAACCCAGGCATCTAGATGATTGACCAAAACACGTAGACAAAATGTTACTTTAATTAGATGCAAAGAGAAATTCAGCCAACTTCTAACCAAGCTTCTGTGGATTGGCTTTTAGTTAGTATTTTATTTTATTTTTTTAACTTAATTTTTGTTAAATCATAACTGTATACATTTATGGAGTATAATGTGATGATTTGATACTCAATGTGGAATGCTTAAATCAAACTAATTAACATCACCTCACTTATTTTAATGGCATGGCATTTATAATATACTCCTAGCTGTTTTGAAATGTACCCTTGCATTGTGTACATTAAGTGAGATCCCACCAAATACCGTCCCTCCATTCACCCTCATCCTCCCTTCTCTTTTCCCTCCTCTCTCCTCTTTCTTTCTGGACTATCTTTGTATTTTCTCATTTTTATAAATGTGTAAGTGTTTATATATCAGTTTCATAATAGCATTGAGTACACTGAATACTTTTTTTTCCATTCTTGAGATACTTTACTAAGAATGTGTTCCAGCTCTATCCAGGTAAACATAAAAGATGTAAAGTCTCCCTCTTTTTATGGCTGCATAGTATTCCATGGTATATTTATATCACAATTTGTTTATTCATTTATGGGTAGATGGTCATTTAGGCTGCTTCCACTTCTTGGCAGTTGTGAATTGGGCTCAGTAAACATTCTGGTGCAAATATCTTTGTTGTAAAATGATTTTTGTTCATCTGGATAGACACCTAGATATGGACATAATGAGAAGAAAGAGAGCAGAGCTCAATAACAATAAAAAGTTGTTTGAGGAACTTCAAAATACAGGAGAATAGTAATATCGTGTTTCCCCAAAAATAAGACCTACCCAGGTCTTATTACCCAGAAAGCCCTAGCAGGATTTCTATGCATTCGTTAAATATAAGCCCTACTCTGATAATAAGACCTAGTGATGGGCGTGGCAGTGCAGCGTATCTGAAGCCAAGTGCTGAGACCAGCCAGGCCAAACGCCTACATTCTTACCAGCTTTGGCACTCGCCAGGAACAGGTGGAAGCTAGACAGTGGCCCTTCCCCCAAACCGGGAAGGGCTGCTTGGACAGGCCCCATCAGCTGAAGTTGACCTTTAACACTGGTCCTTCAGACCCTGCCCAAACTCCCACCCCTCCATGGCCTGCCTGACCAGGCTGGCAGTGCTACCTGTTCACACTCTGCCCTAGCGCCCAAGGCAGACAGTGCCTGGACCCTGGGCCACACCCAGCCCATCTGTATATGTGTATGTGTGTGATGCTACCTTTCCTCCTGCCCCTGCCAGGGCCCTGCATACACACAGGTATGCATGCACACACTGGGCTTGGGACATGGCCCCCAGAGCTCCTGCCTGAGGAGGACCTTATGCAAACATTTCTGTGCCTGCTGGGTAGGGCACATCTGAGGGGCCTGGCTCCAAGCCTGCAGGGCCAAGGGCCATAGCCGGACAGGGGGTGGCCCCTGGATTCAGGCACATGACCACCACAGGAGCATATGCCCACGCGTGTGTCATGTACTCATCTCACATGCATCCCCCTTCCGGGTCATGCAGACACACCACTACCACACACACATCTCATGCTGTACACCTGGAGGCTGCTCACATCTCTCACGCCCAGTGTCAGTGCACATCTGCCTGTCACATGCTGCCCAGGGACACCCAACAATGGCTCCTTTCTGACCTTCCCCTCTTCCCCTAGCCTCAAGGTGCCCTGCCTGGTGGGGCATGTGAATATGCAATGGGAGTCCTGCACTGTACAATGGCGAGTGTGGGTGCTGTGGCATGCCCGTTCCTGAGGCTGGCTGATGCCCCTGGGCAGGGCCTGTCATGTGAAGCTCGTGTCCTAACTCTGTCTTAAGTGCATTCACGCACTTACACTTGGCCTTATGTACACAGCCTTGCCCGGCCGCCGGGGCATGTAGGGATTAAATAGAAGATGATGACTTCTAGAGGATGACTTCCAGAAGAAGATGACTTAACTGTATTTGAATAAATGTAGATTGTTGTATTATACTTAATAAAAATAAGACATCCCCTGAAAATAAGCCCTAGTATATCTTCTTGAGTAAAAATAAACATAAGACAGTGTCTTATTTTCAGGGAAATACGGTAGTATTTTTTTGAATAACAAAAATATTTATTCTTGAATTTAACTTACTATTTTTTTACTGTATGCTAATTTTCCCCCTTTAGGTTGACC